CAGGTCCCTTCCGACCCTAGAAACTATGAAACTATCTTCTGAGGTCCCTTCGCACCCTAATAGCTATGAATCTATGAAGATGGAGAAACGGGTAGGAACTTGTAGAAGATTTTGCGGAGCTTTCACACAGAATCAAATGTTTGAAGAGGTTCATCTCTCTCTGCCCCATAAAAAGGGTTCATTCGATGAAACATTGGCCAAAACATCAGGTAGCAGCCAAACCCCACCCTGTGTGCGCCCTTTGGCATTTCAGGAAACACTTAGCATGTGGGCAAGAGGAAGTTGATTTCCAAACTCAGCAGAGTTCTTTTGGCATGGCTTGTCACACAGGCCTATCCCACAGCGATTGCTTCACTCTGCTGCACTTGGAAAGCACCGTTGCAGAAATGAAACAGCAAAAGCAAAACCAGAAGAGAACAACTGGTGGGAAAGAATGCATCCACAGCAGGGAAGAGTCACCCTCCTTGCAACTGCTGGACAGAGCTACCAAGGGTCACCTTGCCAGAAGGCACCACTGGAGCAGGCTCAATGGAGTTGCAGGCCTGGCAGCATGCCATGCTGTGTGCCCTCCATCAAGGCCCTGGGGGGGGTCCCATGGTTCTGCCTCCTCTCAGTGCCTCTCTGTACTGTAGCCATGAGCACTCATGAGAGCTGTGCAACCTGTTTCCTTTGCCAGTTGCTGGGCTCTGCAGTCTCCCACATCTTGAAGACCCTCAGGGCCTCCCTCATACTATGCTCTCCCAAGGGCTGCTCTCCTAGTCCTCCCAGGAGCCTCCACTGAATGAGCACCCAGCTAAAGGCAGAGCACTCTCCTCTAGGGATTTCACCTGCCTTACCTTGTACCTCAGAGGAACCATTGTCATTAGGAGCCCTCCTGACCTTCTCTGCTAACTGCTCCATCTTGATCTTCACCTTCTCTCTCTGGGCAGACAGAAGACAAGGCATTTATTCATCCCAGTAATGTCCCTGGGATTATTCTAGGTATAAGGCTCCTCCTCTCTTGCTCTCCCCTCCCCCACCATTACTTCCCAGCCCACCCAGGGAAAGGCCAACTGGCTTCGTTCACTGCACGAGTGTCACAGTGGAGCACAAATGCTGGGAAAGGCAGCCACCAGGCAGGAGGCAGTGCAGACACGAGCACAGCAGCCACCATCTGCAGTAAAAGCCGGAAAGGCCTTTTTAAAGACCCAAATCTGTCCACGCCTTTTTCCTAAAAATCCCAGAGTGGAGAGGAGAGTCTGAGCTGGCAGCTAGACCCCTCCATAGCCATTGTGGACAGGCCCAGATACAGACATCATTCCAGGACCAGATGAGCTCACTGCAGACTCTGGCAATCTCACTCCTCAGATATCCAGAGAAGGTGGGATTTGCCTCTCTTCCCTTCCACAGGATAGGGGCAACAATTAGTGCTACACAAATATTAACACAGGAAAGACCATGGCCACAGGAGAGTGCTCGCAGCTCGTCCAGCGTGGCACGTGCGAGATGGTGGCAGGCTGTTACAGAGCTCTGTGCACCTGTTTGTGGCCTTTACTTGTGGCATCTTTTCAAACTGAGATTGAAGGTGCTTTTGTGGCTAGGGCCAGGCCTCATCTTATCCTGACTTTCTGAAGGAGCAACTATATTTTCTGGGCATTTGAAAGGTTAAAAAAAAAAAGTTTAAAACCTCCTTTTTTCCCCCACTTAATTTTGACCAAATGTGTCAGAACGCATACAGTAAACAATACAAAAAATCTACATACAAAAACCCCACAGTGCACAGACCCATTTTAAAAAAAATGCCCTGATGGTAAATTTCACAAGTGTGGGTGGCTAATTACAAGACCAGAAGTAACTTGGCAAAAATCACACATATCAAAAAGCAGGTCCTACATAAATATTTTCACCCAGACTCCCAGTGTTCATAGAGGTGGAGAGGGACTAACCTGACCTGCCATTTCCAGTGAAAGTATTTTTTTCACCACATCATCAACCCTGCAGAAAGATCCCAGATTCAGTTATACAACACAACAGACCATTTATTTAACTTCTGACACTGGGGGTTAATTTAGATTTTCAGATCAGATGAGTTCCTTGAAAAGAATCATTCAGCAAGTCTAAGCCACTCTACAAATTTACAGTGAAGAGTTGATCAAGCCATGTCTCTCTTGCATTCATAAGAGGAATCACAGCAGAGAACAAATATAGTCAGCACCAGTTTGTCATTCCCAGAAGTTGGGAGCATATGGTTTCCATTAGGGTCTATGCGAAATTTCACTGGCCGTTTCATTCCGACACTGTTTCCACCAATTGAGGTCAAAACAGCAAAATTGGAACGAAACAAAGGCTGTTGAAATAGCCTTGAACCAAAATGAGGCTGGCTGAAATGTTTAGAAAGTCAAAATGTTTTGACCATAAGCTGGGGATGGGAAGTCAGTGCATCTGGGTTGCCTTCCCATGCTAGATCACGCAGGTGGGGAAGCAGCCCAGCTAGGATACTTCTTGGTGCCCCGTGCTAGATCACCTCGGGGGCAGGAGGCAGCCCAGCTGGCCTGCTTCCTGGTGCCCCATGCTAGATTGCTGCCTCCCGCCCCCGGGGCAATCTAACGCTAGGGACGGGAAGCCATCCCAGCTGGGCTGACTCCCAATCCCCAGCAAAACTCAAAACAGTGTCAAAACAGCCTTTCTGTTTTGATGGAATGCAACGGAACAGCTGTTTCAACTCAAAATGAAATTTGAGATGAAACACTGTTCCCTTGAACCACCGAAATGCAAGGTAAAATGGAACGGTGCTGTTTCACACCAGTTTTCATCCACCATGGAGCACATCTTGTAGCTTTCAAAAGCCACACGACATGCAAGCTTGGTGCTAAAGATTAGCCCCAAGCGCATGGCCACAGACATGGGGGTCATCATTGACCACAAGATGAACATGAGCCTGCAATGTGATGCTGCGGCTCGTAAAGCGACCAAAACGCTGGCTTGCATCCATAGATGCTTCTCAAAAAAATCCGGGGACGTCATTCTCCCCTTGTACTTGGCCTTGGTGAGGCCGCAGCTGGAGTCCTGCACCCAGTTTTGGGCTCCACAATTAAGAAGGATGTGAAGAAGCCTGAGAGAGGCCAGAGAAGAGCCACGTGCATGATCAGAGGTCAGGAAAACAGACCTTACGACAACAGGCTGAGAGCCATGGGGCTCTTTAGCCTGGAAAAGCGCAGGCTCAGGGGTGACTTGATGGCCACCTATAAGTTTATTAGGGGTGACCGCCAGTACCTGGGGGAATGTTTGTTCACCAGAGCATCCCAAGGGATGACAAGGTTGAATGGTTATAAACTACTGCAATACCATTTCAAGCTGGACATAAGGAAGAATTTCTTTACTGTCCGAGCCCCCAAGGTCTGGAACAGCCTGCTATCGGAGGTGGTTCACACACCTACATTGAACACCTTCAAGAGCAAACTGGATGCTTATCTTGCTGGGATCCTATGACCCCAGCTGACTTCCTGCCCTTTGGGCGGGGGGCTGGACGTGATGATCTTCCGAGGTCCCTTCCAGCCCTAATGTCTATGAAATCTATGAAAATCATTTACATTTGGACTCAATCCTTCAACTCAGATCTGCACAGAGTCCCACTGACATTGGTGGGGCTCCATGTGGGCACAAGATGCTAGCCACTCCGGGGCAGCTCTGGGATTGAGCCCTGAGAATGCAGCAGCCTTGGACCTATATTTCAAGAGTGACCATGAAACAAGGGAGCCCACTTTGAAATACTTTAGTGCCCAATTCCTAGAGCACACCAGAAAACCAGAGATTCACTGGATACTAGTGGAAGCTGTGGGATCTCAAAATCAGGCTCCAAACCACCTTAGCTCAAGCCACTGAGAACCAATGTACCTATTATCAGTGGCCACTTCTGCAAATTTGACTTGCAAAACAATTCTGCAGTTCTTTGCCAGACTGCAGAGTCAATGACCACGAAGCACTGGGTAAGTGTGAAGCTGTGCAACAGTCACTGCTTCTGCGGCTACAGGTCTTTGGTGCTCAACGTATGCAGGGGGGATTAGGTGTCCCCTCCCTCCCTGCTGTGCCCAACGTACTTGTCTATTATGGGGAGACTGGCATACTCTTTCCTCAGCACGGTGGGAGGAATGTCATCCAGCTGGCTGGGGAGTTCTGCAGAGAAACAGCATTTGGGGAACAGCGTGTAAGAACCTGTGCTCGGGGGTACTATGAGAGCCGCGCAGATCCCACTCCAGCGTAAAGGGAAGCAAGTCCTGAGCCAGAACGGGAACCTGGAGCTGGGCTTCCCACTGGGGGAGCAGAAACAAATGAAGGAGTGGAGGCAGGGCCCTGCTTCCTGCTCCGGATTCACGGCCCCAAGCCAAAACCACGAGGATAAAGGCAGCGCATGCCGCCAAGCACGCGAGCAGCGTGAGGCCAGTTACTGGCGGTTTGAGCACTCTGCGCGCCGGCTGCTCGGGAAGGGCCTGCGGCAAGAACCACCCCCGTTCCCCACCACCTCCTGGGGTCAGGACCCACCGCGCCCCCGCTCACCTTGAGTCCTCCGGCCCGGCCCGGCGTACGC